CCTTTCCCCACAAAGCATTCTTATCCTTGGGTCTCTGATCCTCAGAGCTCCCTTTAGACTCCTGAACCCCATGGCTTGGTAGCTCCCAGAGAAGCTTTTTTCCCAGGTAGTTGGACACTTCAGGATTTTGCAACAAATCAATCCTGCTGCTCTTTTCTGGCTCAGCTGCTGTTGTGGCTACAGATTTCTTAGTAATAACCTTTCTCCAGGAGCAAAGGAGAGAGTCCTGCTGCTGCTGCTGCTGCTGCTGCTGCTGCTACTGCCGCCGCCACCATCAAAGCTTTCTGTGTGGCTTTGGTAGAATGTTAAGAGTTGTGAGATAATTAAGTTGCATTTCTGTGCATTGTTTACTGTTGCTCTCAACCAATCACTATTCCATAGGGGCTAATCTGTGTAGGGTTTTTTCCTTGGCAGTGCCTGTTTGTACCACATTCTTCATTATGCTTCAGTTACAATTTTAATTTTACTATTATTAAATCTTCCCCAAAGCTGTATTATTCTGCACCTCTGAGCTGGAATTCCTGATTTGGGGACTGTTTGCATCTGGGCAAATGATTGTTCTTGTTTACAAAAGAACATACATTAAAACTCAGCACTGAAGGAATTCTGGTTCCCTTCCCTCCTCTTGCCCCTGGCCCACCAGGTGGTAGGATGTGGCAGAGAGGGGAGTCAGGGAGCCCAAGGGATCTGATACTCTCTGAGATTGTGGCGCCAAAATCATGGCTTCTGATGGTCAAGCCAGTGGAAAAGTTGAGGGCACCAGCTTGGCATCAGTTGGAGACTTAGTTTTTGAAGCCTGCAAGATATCAATAGTATTGCACTCCATGTTCCTTCCAGCAGTGATTAGGAGCACAGGCTTTGGAATCAGACAGATCTGGTTTTAAAATCCAATTTTTTCCTTTAGTAGGCTCCTGACATTATTATGAGAAGTGACAGTTATGTCGTTTCTCTCAGCCTCAGTTTCCTTACTACAAAAACAGGGAAAGTTTATGATGATACTGTCCCATGAACAAGGATGAAAAGGGATAAAATTTCAGAATAGTGCCAACCACATGATATGGACTTTGTAAAGGGTTGTGATTAGTCTGTTTTATGCGAAGATTTAAGAGCATGGCGCCAGCTGCTGCTTGTTGTTGGTGAGGGCCTTCTGGCAGATGACACTGCAATGATGGGACAGGAAGCGAGAAAGATTCAGGCCCTAAGCTCATTCTGTAAAACAACTCTTGTATTTAGTTGTGTGTGTGGTTCTGGGGATTGAACCCAGGTATGCTGTACCACTGAACTACATCCCCAATCCTTTTTATTTTCTTTTTATTTTACTTTGAGACAGGATCTCACTAAATTGTTGAGGCTGGCCTTGAATTTATGATTCTCCTGCCTGAGGCTCCCAAATTGCAGGGATTACAGGAATCATCACAGTGCCCAGCTCAGAGCCAGAACTTGAGCCCACGTTGGTCTGCTCCACAGCCCTGTTCTGTCTTTCCACTTGTGCTTCTATCCTGTTGCTTACTGGTTTAAAACACACACCACCATACCCAGCTTTCAGGGTTGTGTGTGTTTTAAACTTTTTCAGGGATTAAGATCTAACTACCTTCCACTAGGCTCCACCTTTTAAAGGTGCCACCACCTCTCAGCATCATTACACTGGGGTGCAAACTTCCACTACAGGAAACATTGGGGGGACACACTCTAAGCGCATCCATAGCAGGTAGGTAAAGTGATATTGCTAATATCATCATAACTGTTGTTCATCATTCTATCTCCTGCCCATTTTGCTTCCTCAAACACCCATCTGGAGCTAGTTGCTCACTTGGTTTTGCATGATAGATGTGAGGTCCAGGCCTGCCTCTGGTCTCATCACTAAGCCAGTGGAGTGGAGTAGGAAGCACTTTCCATATGCTCTTGATGATGGTTAATGATAGGAATTAGCTACCTGGCTTCCCAAGAAGGGCAGAATGGTAGATTCCAGGGGGCCTGGGCTTGTAAGAAAGAATTCAGCCTTGTCCCAGCCAAAGGTGGCTGGCTCTGAGATTTTGATAGTTGCTAGCCTCTATTACTGGATGCAGTCACCAGCTCTCCCACACATCCACCCCAGTGTCCCTACAACCCTTACTTCCTCCTCAACTTCCCTTTGCTGCTTTTTCTTCTGTCACCCTGTCCCCCCATGCTGCCACGCACACTAAAACCATAACTTTTTTTCCCCCCTTTCCCATTATCTCTAACCCATATACTCCGGGAAGTTTAATTTGTTCTCGGTAGTAATCACCATTAACTAGAAATTGTCTTTCTCTGTGTAAACACGTCATTAGTGAAGCTGGTTTTCTGCAGGGTCCAGATTTCATTTTTATTAAAATGAAACACTTTCAGGCGCCTCACTGTGTCCAAGGGAAGAGAGTATAATTTTAACCCATTGGGTTGGCCACAGATAATTGGGCTGGCATTTGATTGGACGATTAGGGAAATATCTTCTTTGCATGCAGTATAATTTGCATTTTTTTCCCACTTATATGAAGCTAAGTCATGCTTTCGTACACAGGCAGTTTTAATGAGCATTATAAATCCTAATGAATATATTTTCATGTTCATTTTATTGGCTTGTTTTTATTACTGGAGGTCTGAAAAACAGGGCCAGTGAGGGAACTGCAGAGGAAATGGCAGGGGAGAGAAGCACCATGGTAGGCTCCCCATCCCTCCCCTTCTGCCATCTGGGCTCAGGGATAGGAAGATGGGCAGGAGGGGGTCATCGAGGTTCTCTTTAACCAATCCAGAAGTTGCTTGGGACTCCACGGGACACAGACAGCATATTCCTCACTTGGGAGCCAGCACAGCCCCTACCGTTGTAGCCTCAGTATTAACCACAGCATCAATAGTACAAACCATGGAGATGGCAAACCCCAATGCTTTACGGTCTGCCATGGAAGAGGAGGCAAATATTTCTGCACGGCATCACGAATGTGGTAGGATCTCAGTGCAGGTTGATCAAATGGAACCAGACTGAATTCTGACTCCCAAGGAGCTGCCATATATGCAGCACCTGTTTTCAAACCTGTTACCAAGCGTACGGAGCACAATATTCTCCTGGATAATTTAGGAGGTTCACATATATCTTAGGGTTTTAGTACATCATTAGACGTATCAGTTATAGGTCTGAGTTCTGCTTGTCTCTAAAATAAGAAGATATTTTCATTCAGTAAATATTTGGGGAGCATTTACTAGATCGTGGATACTAGCAAATACAAGTGGTCCCTACATTTTCTGCAAGCTCCAACACTATAATAAAAAATCTGTAATAAGCGATCAATAAAGTAAACTCAGCAGTGGAACTAGTTAGGGCTCTGGTTATAAAATCACCTGCACTATGAGTTTGGTCTGTTTTCCTCAGGTACCCCAGGTACCTCTGTTGTGCCCTCCTGCCCCAGCACATAGCACCCAGGCATCTGCACAGACCAGGCCTCTTGTCTCTGCTCCCACACCCTGAGCCTGGCCCTGTGGGCTTCTTACTTGATCCTTTACATCTTTGCTTCTAGCTGAAGGGCATCCTTTGCATCTTTTCCTTTCAGTAACCTGAGGAGCACTAACCTCCCTTTACTCTGGAGGCCTGATCAGCACTTGGCTGTGGACCTTCCTGTGAGGAACCTAGATGGGGGCCTGTCTGGACTCACAGCTGACCCACTGGCCACTGCTGCTTACCTCATAGCCTGTTCTCTGAAGACTGCCAGCCTGAACCCATCTCTCCCTCTCACCCCCTCCAAATTTTGCTTTATTATTTTTATTATTATAAAGGTGTTTGCTACTAGCATAGACTGGGGGTTTTGAGGATGTTTTAGATGTTAATTCAACTAGAAACTAACTCAGTTGCCTTTGCCACCCTCTCTTCAAAGTGGCAGCTCAGTGCTTGAGTGTGATGTCCCTGTAACTGATGACTCATGCAGGCCCTTGCTTCATCATCTTCTCATGCTTTGTCCCCACCCTTGCCTCTCCCTACCCTCCCCCCTACTCTGCAGACAGGGCTAAAACCATCTTTATGTCTTCCTGCTGTACAAGATATGTTTACTGAACAACTACCAAGAGCTAGAGTCTATAAGAACTGGAAAAACTAAAAGAGAGGGCTTGCATAGAGGGAAAAGGGAGCCTTGGCTAAATTGGACATGGCTGATTTTCACTGTGTGACCCAGAGTAAGCATCTCACATCCCAAAGCCATTTTTCCTCACTTATCTCATGGGAGATGGTAGGGATTTAAATGAGATAGTGAATGTGCAAATGATTTAGAAATCGTAAAAGCTGGTCAAGATTCAGGTGGGATGCAACAAAGTCCCCAAGAGATTTGGACCATGGATCCTGGATCCTGGCTGGTGAGTGGTACAGAGATGCTTGCTGTCAGGGTGGGATGTTGCTGCTAATTGAAGTCAAATATTTATATATTTGTCTTTCCCAAAGAGGAGAAACAGAAGGAAGCTCTAGGTGGAGTTTACCACTTGTATGGTTTCATACATCTGGTTTCATCCTCTCCTCTACACTTTGCTTGAAGACCGTTACTGCCAAAAATGTGTCATACTTTGTCTTAAGAAATGGGCAGGGTGTCTCTTCTCTGGTTTGTGCCTCTACTGCTATTGTATCAGCGTTTGAAGTGCTCTAAGTGCTCTGCTATGAGTACCGATCATCTGTATTGCATGTGGTAGGTCAGCCTTGGGTTTCTTTTAAGACTGCTCACTTCATCTATTTAGGGACCCTTGCCTGAGGCTCCTCCCCCTCCTCCCGTGACTCACAGTGCCTAGGTATGAAGTTGGGGATGGTTTGTTCCATGAAAGCTTTCAATGACCCCATTAGCCAGAGGGCAGGGGGTGGGGCATCAGTGATCCACTCAGCCAGGGCATCTCCTCTCCAAGTTGAAGAGTGTCTGCATCTGACCAGTTGGTCTTACACACTGAGAATGGCAACCAGAGGAGCATAGCATCAGTTCCAATGCTGTCCTGCAAAAACATAACAGAAATGACTCCTCTTAGGCACCAATTTTTTTTTGTCAAAAAATCAGAAAGGTGGTGTAATTGCACAAGAAATCTGCTGGACTATTGCAGAGCCAGGTCTTCAATTAAGGAGTGCAATGGTGTCTGCACATTCCTGAGCTGTTGCCGGAGTTCCTGTGTCCATGGGGTGAAACCTTCATAAGGAGAACAACTTCCCAACAGCTCAGAAGGGCAGGAGGATTCAGAGCAGCCCTCTAGTCACCTGCAATGAACTAGATTGGGGCAGCTGGATGGAGGGGAAGAGAGTTTAAAGGGTGTTAATTCATCGTGAGCAGTTCTGAAGTGAAGGAGGACCACTTGCTCCCAAGACACCTTTGATGTCAGACCCAGTTCTAGATGATAAAGGGAGGAAGGATGAGGGCCAGTGTCATAGAGTGTTTCAGGAAGGTAGAGGCATGAACTGGGGCTTTTTTGTGTGCTTCATCTCCTCTTGGGTGAGCAGAAGGGATGACACCTGAGGGTAGGAAAACAGACCCTGGGGAAGGGAAGAGGCTTGTGTTCTGACCTTCTCGCAAGAGGATGGCTGGCTAACAGAGCGGCTTAGGAAGGGAAAGATATCTCACCTTTTGGGTTGAGGGGGTGTTTGTTTAGTATCCCATCGCAGATTAGTCTGGCCTGAGTCCCCGAAGCTCCACGTTGCAGTGGGGAAGCAAGCTGGTATGTTTGCATTAGGTCGCCTGGGGAAACTCAAGGCATTATGGGATGGCAGGAGATGCCTCCCTGAAACTGATTTCCATGCCCCTCCACCTTTGCCCCCTCCTCCTGCTTTCCGATTCAATCCTCCTGACCCGAGGCTTTGCTTGAGGGGGAGGGGCGCCAAACCTAGCAGGAGAGTGCAATCCTGCCCTTTCCCTCTTCCACTCCGGGTACATCCTCACCTTTAAGCTCTTTTCTCTTATGTCTTTCCTTACCTCCCAGTCTCCTTCTCCCACTCTTTCCCTCCTGCTTGCAAACTCTCACACCCTCTTCTTTTTATGTGTTCGTCTATTTTTGCGATCAGTTTTCTGGGGCTCCTTTTATTCATTCATTGATGCTCCCTTTCTCCCTTTGGTGATGTCCGGGAACGACATTGGTTAAATGCCCCTACTAGCAAGGACAGGACTCTGGAGAGACGAGTTACCGCCAGAACGGGCTAACAGCACTGTGCTGCGGGGCAGAGCCCGGGGTGCCAGTCCCAGCTATGCCATGACCTGGTAGTGTGGCTGGGTAAAATTTCTCTTCTTCCCTGAGCCTCAGTTTCCCTAGAAATACAATGGGGAGGCCGTCGCCCTACTCTTCAAAGATGTGCTATGCTTCAAAAAGGAGAACTCTCCCGAGAGTCGAGCTCTGCTCTGCACCCCACCCCCATCCTGTCCGGGCTGACTGCGAGCCTCTCCCAGCCCGGCTGGAGCAGGGGGAGGCTGTGTGAGGCTTGGGGGTGGGAGCTCACGGAGGGGCTCTGCAGCCGGGCCTAGTTTAGGCAAACAGCAGGGACTGCTGGCGACGGCTCCAGCCCCCACTTACGCTGTAACAGCTGCAGTCCAGCTGCTGGCATCCCTGCTGGGGGAGCGTGCTAAACCTCTCCGGGGTCAGCACTGTGGTATGTCGGTTTCCATAGCAACCAGCCAACGGGCCACTTTCTCAGAACAATTCCCCTACTCAGCCGGGTTCTGGACTTAGCTCAGCCCAAGGGCATGTGGCTGAGGAGCAGAGCGGGAGGGGGAGAGGGCGCAGAGGACCCACTGGGCCCCACGGAAAGTAGCTATCTCAGTCTTGTCTTCTTC